TATCTTCTGTAGGTCCTCAAGCTTGTTTTCTGATGATTTCTCTAATCTTGAGTATGTTGTATGCATTTAGGGAGCACCAGAGTAACAGAGGTCTTTGGGGTGCACTCCTATAACTCTGGCACCCTTTGACCACTTTTGTCCGTTTTTCGGCCACTGAGAACACCTAAATTCTGACCACCGTCATTGCACCTCTACAGATTCATGTATATGGATGTGCAGTCAATGCTCCGTTATGATTCTATTATGTATTTCCATATGATTGTCCCAATTAGTACCTCAATCCATGTTTCCTCTTACTGCGTGATAGTGTTATAACTCACATGGCTGTGAATTACATGTTGGCATCCTTCAATAATTTTGATTTCGTAAGTTTTATTATATTGTGCAGGTTGATAACTTTGGCACCGTAAATCTCGTTGAAGCATGCCGAAAACTTGGAGTGAACCGATTCATTCTTATCAGCTCGATATTGGTCAATGGAGCTGCAATGGGACAGCTTTTCAATCCTGCTTTTATCTTTCTCAATGTGTTCGGACTGACCTTGGTAGCTAAACTTCAGGCTGAGCAGTTTATCAGGAAATCAGGGATTAACTACAATCATAAGGCCTGGCGGGTTGAGAAATGATCCTCCAACTGGAAATGTTATCATGGAACCAGAGGTAAAGTGCATATTCCATGAGATTTTGACTTTGTTTTCGACATATTTTTCATCTTTCATCGTTTAGGATAATCATTTTTCTTTTTATTTAGGATACCCTTTATGACGGTACCATATCGAGAGATCAAGTTGCAGAGGTTGCTGTTGAGTCTTTAGTTCATCCTGAGTCATATTTCCAAGTTGTGGAGATTGTTTCTCGAACTGATGCTCCTAAGCGTTCTTACAAGGATCTTTTTGGTTCCATTAAGCAAAGTTGACATTGACATTCATTCTTGCCTTATGCAGCTACAGTCCTGTAATATTGGAAGATTATGTACGATATGCATGCAGAAATATAAATTCGTACTTATGAGGACTTTATTGTCGGACAAAATTGGGAGACTATTTTAGTTATAGGGGACAGAATTTTGTAGGTTGATGCAATTTTTACAAACGGTGTCAAAGCAATGTTAATTCTGCAGTCGAGTTTATTCATTTAGTGACTTCAGTGATAAAAGAAAATATTGTTTTATACAAGTTCGAGTAATTGTGTCTGGAAAGTATAGATATGTTTAGTGACAAAAAATAAACAAGACTAAAACAAAAGTGACCATTTCATATATTTTATAGTTTTAGTATTTTTTAATTAATTATTTTAGAAAAAATTAAATGGCCTTAATGACGTTATAAAAGAAAATCAAGTTTGGAAGAAGTGTCAAGTTTTGGGCCAAAAGGACTGTTTGTATAATATATAACTTTTGGTCCATCAACAGTTTGGTTTTTTTTTAAGATTAGTGATTGAAACGGAATAAATACATAACATTAAATATAATTTTGGTTTATTTTTAAAATATTAGTGATTGAAACGGAATCAATACGTAATATTAAATATAATTTAAAAAATAATTAGATGATTAAAACAAAATTAAAATAGCAATTGATGACTAAATAAATAATTTATTGAATTTTTAAATGACCTTCTAAGCATGGTTTTCAGAAACGGACCGGTTAGCGAACCGGCCATGCTACCGATTCACTGGTTCAACCGGTCGAACAGGTCCGACCGGTCGGAAGAATCGGACGACGTCATAATTATTTAAAAAATTAAATAAAAATACCAAAAACATTTAATAAAAAATAATTTTTTAATTCAAAACAAATCATAACATATATAAGTTAAAAACCATAAAATCAAGTGAAACAAAATGATTCAAATAATGCAGATTTATTATGGAAAATATGGCAAATTCCATCAGAGAGGTGGGCAAAAACACCCTGGGGTTGTCGACAGGGAAGGCCAAGGAACATAAAGAATCGTGGTGGTGGAACGACGAAGCCCAAACTAAGGTTAAGACAAAGCAAACTTGCTTCAAGGAGTTTCTACAATGAAATGACGACGAAGAAAGGTCGAGAGCTAAACAAAGATACAAGGAGGCAAAGAGGGAAGCCAAGAAAGGATAAGGCATACGAGGAAATGTACAAGATATTAGACACCAAGGAAGGACAAAACGACATCTTCAGGCTTGCAAAATCTAGGGAGAATAGGAAAAAGGATCTAGGTAGCATTAGGTTTATTAAGAACAACAATGGTGTTCTTTTAGCGAAAGATCATGATATTAAGAGGGTTTGGGGTAGTTAATTCTTTGGCTTATTTAATGACGGTGCCTCTCCCTATAGAGATAGTATCGTTGATGGGCCAGTCGACCATCATACGACGGCCAATGACTGCCCTAAAAGTAGGATTGGGTTTGAGGAAGTCAAAATGGCTCTTAGAAAGATGGGTAGGGACAAAGCTGTCGGTCCTGATCAAATTCCTATCACTGTGTGGTTGGCCCTAGGAGAAGAGGGAGTTAAGTGGTTGACCAACATCTTCAATATTGTTTTAGAGACTGCCAAGATGCCAGAGGAGTGAAGAAAGTCTACGGTGATACCAATCTATAAGAATAAAGGAGATTCCCAACGTTGTGGTAACTACAGAGGTATTAAACTACTCAGCCATACCATGAAGCTATGGGAAAGGGTGATAGAGGCTAGGTTGAGACAAGTTACTAGGGTTTCGGAAAACTAATTTGGCTTCATGCCAGGCAGGTCTACCACGGAGGCGATTCATCTACTTCGACGGCTTATGGAGAAATATAGGGAAAAGTAGAGATCTTCACATGGCGTTCATTGACCTTGAGAAGGCTTATGATAGCGTTCCCCACGATATGATCTGGAAGACTTTGGAGACGAGACGGATCCCAACTGCTTATATCCGGGCGATTCGTGATATGTACTGTAGATCTACTACATGCGTCGGGACTACAGTTGGCGATACCGAGGCATTCCCGGTTGAAATCGGACTCCACCAGGGCTCAGCTCTTAGCCCTTACATCTTCACCTTGATTATGGACGACATATATTGTGCGACACCAGACGGTGTACCATGGTGTATGCTTTTCGCTGACGACATTTTCCTAGTTGCTGAAACAAAATATGAGTTGAATAGTAGACTGGCTACCTGGAAGACTGCTTTGGAAGAAAAAGGTCTAAGGATCAATATTGAAAAGACAGAGTATTTATGTTCAAACTTCAGTGGGGACCAAAACGATGAAGATGTAGAAGTATGCATAGAATGACACGTTCTCCCCTCAAAGGATTGTTTCAAGTACCTAGGGTCTATGATATAAAGATGGGGGTGTAGATAATGACGTTACACACCGTATAAAGGCGGGATGACTAAAGTGGAGGGCTGCTACTGGAGTTTTGTGAGACAAGAAGGTGCCTCTAAAACTTAAGGGAAAATTTTATAGAATGACAATAAGACCAGCGCAGTTGTATGGATCAGAATGTTGGGCAATCAAGAAGGATCACGTAAGGACGATAGAGGCCGCAGAAATGAAAATGCTTCGATGGACATATGGTAGGACTCTGTGGGATATGGCAACAAACTCTGCTATTAGGAGTCCTTGGGGGTGGTGTCTGTTTCCGAAAAATTGAGGAGGGAAGACTACGGTGGTTTGGGTAGTCCTTAGGCGACTACCGTCGGATGCAGTCAGGAGGGTAGAGTCGATTACAGTCTACGGTGTCAGAAGGAGAGGACGACCAAGGCGGAAGTGGGAAGACTGATTGAGATCTGATTTGATGCATTTAGCCCTTACCGAGGACATGACCTCTGATAGGAAAGTATGGAGACTTAAGACTAGGGTAGTCGAGTAGTGTGGGTCACATTTATAGGGTGTATCATCTCTGTCTTTTTTAATGCCTTTGTAGTAATTTCCATGACTTCTACTTTTATACGTGTATTATCGGTATTTATGAAGGCTTAGAACTGAGCTTCCTATCGTTGACTTCTGTGTATCATTCTCTTCACTTTTAAATTTAGCCGGGTCTTACATTTCTGTTTATATGCAGAGATTTTTTCGCAGGGATTTATTTGCAGGGATTACTTCCCATTACAGACGCGCATATGATATTAATGACTGCATATGAATATTGTTCAATTATGTACTTATATTTATTTATACATGCATTGCATTTATCTATATTTTTAATTTTCTGACTGCCGGAGATATTCCACGGAAGCTACTCTCAACCTGGCGTTGGGGGCAGCCTACTACTACTCCCCCTTACCCCATTGCATATGAGAATTGGGTTTCGTTGTTGTATATAACTATAATTAAAAAATAAATTTGGGGCTAAAAAAATCATAACAAAATGATATTGTTTGATTTATTTTTTTTTAAAAACAATCCCACATGGCTAAGAAACATAGAAGATCATCCCAACTAACTTCTATAAATAATAGAGGTAATTTGGCATTCAAAATCATTGAGCCTTTTGGTAAGCATTGAGTGAACTATTCTTTACTTCAATCAAGCTCGAATTTTAGGCTTCAATCAAGCTTTTAAATTTTTTTAAGTTCAAGCCTTTTCGAGTTCAAGTTTCAATATTATATTTCGAGTTCGAGTTAAACTTCATAATTTTTAGCTCGTGAGTTTGAATCGAGTTGAGCTTACTTTTAAATTTTTCTAGTTTGAGGCGAGCTCAGCAATACTCGAGTTCGACTTGGCTCGTTTAATAAACTACATCGTTTGGTTTAATTTTTTTTTTAAAAAACAAAATTGACGGTTTTTTCCGGTTTTTCTCGATTTTCAACCGGTCCGATTTGAACGATTCAGCGGTTCTGACTGATTCACTAATAACGGTTCAATCGGTCTAGATTGAACCGGACTAGACAACGATTCTCGATTGACTCCGGTCCAATTTTCAAAACAATACTTAAAAAGTTTTGGGCGAAAAGGAGTGTTCGTATATATATAACTTGGTCCGGGTCATTATTCCCTGCTGTTCTTATCCGGCGTTTCTCATTTTGGATACAGTGAGTGTCATTTAGGTATCTTCTTCAATGGCCAACAAGATTCTCAATGTTATTCTTAAACTTGGGTTTTTTTTTTTCTTGTTATTGATTCTCATACAGATTGTAGTTTCTTTTCCGTTGTTTTGTTTTTGTTTTCGATATAAGCAGAGAACATTGTGGAGCAACTCAGACATGGAATTGCCAAGTTTGAGCTAGTTTCTTCCCCCGTTTCTTTTATTTCAGCCCCAGGCGTCTCTCACTCATTGTCCACAACTTTCCCGGCTGATAAAAGCCATCGATTCTTTGCTAGAATTGAACAATCTTTGTAAAGCTCTTATTTTTCCCATATAATTTTTTGTCTTGGCTTTAACCCCAAAACTCATCTTTTCTTTTATGAACTCACATTTTATTTTTTTTATTTTTTTGTAGAGGACGTGGGTCGCCAGCAACAAAGAAAGTTGCGCAGTATTCTGTTCATAGGGTTACTGGGGATGGCCGCTGCCTATTTCGAGCACTGGTAACACTTGGTCTTTGTTTCTCTTTGGCGTAGCTTTTAATTTGATTCGTTAGCGTGAGGACTGCATTGGAGTTCAATCTTTTTAGTTAACTTTATAGCAATCTGCCAATCTCTTCTGTCTGAGTTCTTACATTATCAGATATTGGTTTGATATTTGTCTGTGGTTATAAGTACTATCCTACTACCTGATTTTACACTTGATGCCGAAAGTGTTTTTCCGGTTATAGACATTCAGCTTTACGGATTTAATAATGAAAGAACAGATGAGTGTTGCAAGTTACAAGTCAGCAAGTGTCAGTTAGTTTTAGATTCCACTCAGTTGAGCTGTTGTGACGAACCATCAACCGTTACATATTTGAATACACATAATCGTCTTCATAGATGTTTTGATTTTGACCGACTCCCCAAACCTTCGAAATTCTTGCAGTCTAGTGTTCTCCGTCCAAGCCGGTGCCAGGAAAGAGTCACTGGTACCAGAATGGGACAGGAGAGTGTGTAAAGCTGGAATGGGTAACTTGCAGCAAGCTTGGTTTACAATAAGAGAAACGAAGAAGATAATGTGTATTCAGCATATGTTTAACTTTGATTTACTAGTACGTATATCAGAGGTTAGCTGTTGATAGTCTGCTACAACAGCTCAACTAACAGGAATCTAACAATTAACTGACAATTGCTGATGTGCCTCTCCTTGCTGACCTGTATTTCATTACAGAGTGACCTCAGAATGTTAGAGTGGTGTCCTTAATGGATCATGTACTGATTGTGAACAATGTGAATCAGGTCAAAGGGATGGCATTCAACAAGGGTATTAATTTAAGCCCCCACAAAGAGAGAGATGATGCAGGTAGATTCATATATTTTATAACTACACACTGTAGCTGAATTCACACATACCAGCCTTCTTTATTGACTTTTTTCATTTTCTTCTTTTAGAAGTTACAAGTATCAAGTTGTTGTACTTGGCTTGATCCACGATCTGAAACCGCGGGATATAGGATAGTAAAATTCCATTCATTGGATTAATTGTTTATCCAGGAGAAAAGTTTATTAGTGTTTAGTCTTTTTCTGCCCCTTTTCTTCCCCACTTTTGCCCTCATACAACATTTTTTATGGTTGAGAAGCCAGGGTTTATTCCCGAGTTTGTTAATTCAAGAACCTTGGAGAAACCAAAAGCATTGGCATGATTACAAGTTCTGTTCATTTATTAGTTATCCAGTAACTCAGCTATTATGCTTCAAACCTTTTAGGTGATTACTAAGCTCTGAATCATATGGATGCAGATGAATTACGAATGGCTGTCAAAGAAGTTTTATGTGACAATGCTAAAGACCGGCAGCAGTATGAAGAGGCCTTGGTTGCAATTACAGTTGAAAAATCTTTGAAACTGTTAGACTTTAATCTTACTGATAATTCATGGAATATCTTTTAGACTTTTAGTATCTATTTTTGATTGATTGCTTATCATATCCTTGTGATGAGAATCTATCAACTTCTGCAGTTACTGCCAATGCATTCAGCGACCTGATTTTTTGGGAGGAAAATCAGAGCTACTGGTTAGTATTTCTTTCAATGCATATTTATTAAATTCTCTTTAAGTTGATCTTCACTGCTAATATATTACCAAGTTTCAAAGATGATGAGACATTACTATGCAGATATTTGCAACTGTTTATAGTCACGTTTTGTTGAAACGATGACTTTGATTAACAGCCATGATCTCTGTCCCAGGTGCTTTCAAGATTGTGTGGTCAGCCAATAGTTGTTTATATCCCAGAGCACGAGGTATGTTACGTCTCTAGGATATAAAAATTGGCATGTTGCTTTAATATTTTAGGCTGGTCCTGAGTATGGCTTTCCCCGTTTAGTTGTGTTAGGCTGTCTCCACGCCTACTGTAACACCCCCAACCCGGATTAGAATCCGAGAATGTCACATTGACTTTTCAAATCATTGATTCTTTAAAAGTAGGGGAAAATTTAAACTTTTATTTGGATTAAAATGGTGGCACCCTTGAATTAAATAAATAATGAAAACTGACATTCATATTTAAATAAAATGCTTAATAATTTACATAAATACCAAAAAGTATTGGGTTACAAAACAGATCAGAGCATTACAATTTAAAGCTTGTAATACATGCCAACAATTTACAAATAACAAGAAACTTACGCTTTAATTGAATCTGATCTGATCTTTTGCGGAAGTATGCTGTCCTCGACAAGCTTTAGCTCTCTGCTTACTTTGAACCTACGTGTGAAATATTCACACGCTAAGTCGTTGACTTAGTGAGGCAAGTACGAGTTAAATAAAACTTTGCAAACTAAATTTTTATTCATTCCATAGAAGCATTTCATAAGGGATTCAAATTGTTTTTCATAACAAGAATGTATACTTTTATACGTTGTTCGGTTTATATAACTTTGTTTTCAATATCCCAATGTATATTACTAAGAACTTTAGGTATTTGAGTACATTGAGGTTGTGCACTAATGATGTCACCACCATTTACATAATTTGCACCAAAGTGTCACATATTTGTCCCGAAGGACCACATAAAACCCTCTACTCTTGGCATGCCAACTATACCTCTAATTCCCATGTATATACCTTGAACTTTTAATCACATAATTATTTATCATTTCATTATTCAGACTGTCTTTTGCATATAGGCACTTTGACATCGAGCATTTTCGTATACAAATTTTCACATATCACATTTTTATAATCATGTACATATAAACATCAAAACATAGCTTAAAGAAATATAACTTGAATGGAACATGGTAAAAATATAACATAAAAGAAATAGAAAGGTTTTCGATCGAAAACTCTGAGGCTGACTTATCGTAAGCCGCCCTCGAATCTAATATAAAACAAATGAGTTACATTCACATTTACCTCACTGAAGTCCTAAACAAAGTCCTTTTTAACTTTCACTAAATCACTTTGGTAAATCGCTTTGATCGATCCGCTTCTTATCCAAATCTACACGTAGATATATCCAATATCAATACCACTTAACATGAACATATAACCAAATTAGCATTTACAAAGACGAAATTAAAACTCTCACTTTAAATTTCCAACGCCTTAGTATCTGTACCCCTCCTACAGTACCGATACTTCTCTTCTATGGTATCGATACCATTTTGACATTCTGAAATTTCATTTCAAAAATAGTATCGATACCTTCCTCTTGGTATCGATACCTCCACATCAGTATCAATACTTATTCAATCAGTATTGATACTGTTCATCGGGTTCAAACATTTTTCCTTCAATTTAGTCTTATAGTATCGGTACTGTTCTACCCTAACCCAGATTTCCCTTAATTTACTTTGTATTTTACACATCCCACACCTAAATCTTAATCTTTCAGCTCCGTTAATATCTTCAAACTTGTCAACACTTATCCTAATCAACATTTATCCAATAATCCCCTTATTACATCCAATTTCTTTATGGAATTCTTAAAAACTAAAAATCATACCATATTTTCAAACATGTTCTTAATCCTTTCTAATACTTCTAACTTCTTAATGAGACCCTTGACAAGTCAAATTTATCACTAAAAATCCAATTACCAAACCATATCAACAAATCCCTTAAAGACCCATTTTACAAATTCATCATTAATTCACTCATCTTTTAGTTTTAATCAGTCTAAAGCTTTCCTTAAGCTTATCTATCACTCAAAGCTTCAAAACTAACCCAAAACTTTAAGAAACAACCAACGTAGAATAAACTTACCTTTTTAACGAGAAGAGAAAGAGAAGAAACCAAGTTTCCAGATAACTCTTTCTTATCCACTTTTCCATTTTAAATATCTCATTTAAAATGAATTTTAAATTCATTTCCAACCAAAAGACCTCTTTTCCTTTTCACACTTCCATCTTTGCTTATAAGCCCTAAAAAAATTCCACAATTAGTCCTTGAATTCTTCAACTTATCAAAATTGATCACGAAGTTTTAAAATCTTACACTTTAATCACTAGCCTGGTGTTTGGGGTGTTACACCTATACTGACTTAAACTCGCATATTTAGTCTTTTGGCGACATCCACAGGCACAGGACAGAGTTTATCTTTGCTAAACTTTGCATTACCTCAAATGCAAAACCTTTTATTTCAAGTTCCATTTTATGAATGGGAGCTGGGGTTCAAATTGTATATTCATCCACCAATTTGATGCTTGCACTGATTTATTTGTTTATTTGATGTTTGCAATTTGGCAGCATAGAAAGGGTGGTGGGGCTCAGGTTTCATTCCCATTGCGGAATATGGATCTGAGTTCCGCAAGGGCTTCGGAAATGGAAAACCCAAGAAAGTCATAAGGCTCCTTTTCAGTGGTAGAAACCTTTACGACTTGCTCGTCTGAGAGTATTGTCTAGATTAAAACACTGAATTTTACCAATATGAAGGCCCGTTTTTTTATCATTGGTGGTGGTTTTTCCCCCCTAGGATCATATAAGTTACCAATGGATTTTGCCAGTTGATTCTCTGACATCTCTTACTCGAGTAAGATATGTTTGAACATTGAATGGATGTGTTATTGAGTTTATAATGGTTCATGGTGTATGTTACTTGGAGTAGCATGTTGGACAATATCTGATGTTATTGCTTTTTTAGGGTAAAGTACATGTTTAGTACTTCAACTATCATTTTTGTTTTGTTTTGGTCACACAATTATTATTATTTTTTCAAAATCATATCTAACGTTACGTTTCGGTTTCATTTTGGTTATACACCGTTAAAATATTAATAGAATGACGTGGTATTTTTATTTTTTCAATGATGTGATATTATATTAAGGCGACATGTTAATATCACCTTTAATTTTTTAATGGTGAATGAGCAAAATGAAATTAAAATGTGACATTATGTATAATTTTGAAATAAAAATAATCAAAATGAAATAAAAATAATAATTGTGATACTAAATGTGTAATTTACCCATTTTTTTATAATGGTTAAAGTCAATTAATCGGGTATGGTTTGTATAATAATAACACACTTTTACTAGTTTTCCCCTCTTGTTTTAGTACATAATTATCAATAATTTGACACATTAATTTTCAGCTGCTCACCTGAATTAATTTTAAGCGGAATTTTCTCTGTTAATACTTAGTACATTATAATTTGAAAACATTCATTTGCTTCCGTTAGATAAATAATTTATTTATCTTTATGTATTTATTTTAAATTTATAAGTTTTATCATTATAATTTATCTATATACATGTATAAATATGTGATTCTAATGAATGAGAAATGTAGTGATGTGAGCACATCTATGCCAACAAAGGAAGCTGATCTGGAGGTCTTACCAACAAGACTTATCACATGTTCTAAGGCAAATCATTTCAGGGAAGCTCTTTCTCTTAAGTGTTTACAAGTTTCTGAATCATTCCGTAATGTTTATGCCTTAGAAACTAAGCTTTTCAATGTGTTACATACTGATGTGTAACATTAAAATAGTTATACTAAGTAATTATATGTATTTGTATTAGTTTCATTAGATATATAAGAGTGTGCATTATATATTACTTACTTTATGTTTTAATAAGTTTTATAACTCATAAGTGTGTTTGCATGATATTTTCAGCTTATTAGTAAGTTTACAATAAGTTTGTCATACTTTGATGGATGCTATTATGTTTTTCATATAGGAACAATAAAGGGCAGCAACTTAAGGTCTTAATCCTAGCTCGGTTGAAGCTCAAATGAGTGTATGCAGCTCATCTCAGCTCAAATTAACTCACTACACTTTCAGCTAGCAGAATTCAGCTCACCTTAGCTCCGTTCAGCTCCATTAGCTCAATCCAAGCTAATAAGTTCAGAAGCAGCTCAAAGGTGTCCTACGTGTGGGAGAGTGTCCTACAAGCATGTGAGCGGCATGTGGGGCGTTATATACCTATCCAAGAGTGCATGGCATGTGTGACATTGTGCACATGTGTGGAAATTCAACATTGGGCAGATCTGAATTCAAACTAAAAGCACATGTGAAATTGTTTGGATTCTCAACCCTTCCCTCCATGCATGGACGTTTTAACCTCCTTATCCACTCATTTAACACATGCAAAATGTGTTAAATGCATTCAAAATCAGCCACACAAATGGGCAGCAACACAAGGGAGTTACATGTTGGTTTTTTATTTGGGTTTTGAATTCAAAACCTGGTTAATTTGTAGCCACAAGTGATGGCCTGCCATATCTCTCTTTTACCTATATATTTTGTAATTTTGTAAGTGCAAAGGTTAGACATTTGATGAATAAAAATTATTGTGAGATTTTCTCTCAATGTTGGTTCTTCTTAGAACTATTTTCTTGACATTTCAAGCCTGATCTTGTTGTGTCAAGCTTGTGATACTTCGGGTTCTTAGATTGCTATCTAACGGGTCCAAGTCCTTTGAACATTGAACGTATAAGGTTTGGGTTTATATTTTTTAGTATAGGTTCTTCCTTGTTCTTTGTTTGTTAACCAAAATTTCTAGATTTGTTCTTTCATCATTGTCATCTTCTCCGAGCACTCATCTTCCACCTTTCACTATTTTAAAATTTCCAACAACGTAATTCATCATTTTTTCATCATTTTTTTAGCCATTTTCGTCCATAGCCTTAAACATACAACCAACAACATCATCCTTAGTTTTAGCAAGTTTGCTGCAAAGGAATTACTTCGTTCTATATCTATTACAATTGAAGAGTCCTCATCCAATAGGTTGCCTCATATCATGTGGTAATCAGAGCAAAGGTTTCAACCAAGTAAGAAATTCAACTTTGAAAGTACAAAAAAAATCTGAAAATTAAAAAAATATTTAAAAAAATTTGAAAATTACAAAAACAAAAAATTAAAAAGAAGAAAATTTTCTGATTTTGAGAAATGAAAAGATAAATAAAAGTGTAATGATCTTGTGTTCTTCAACATTGAAATGCTTTGATTCAACCCAAAATGCAACATATTTGATTGTTTTTGTGACAGTCTCGTTATAAGCATTTCTTTGTAGTAAGTTTACTGATTTATTTTTCATCTCTTTTTTTGTTGTTTTTCCTTTAAATTTTAGCATTTCCTTTCATATTTTCCAATTTACATTAAACTTTGTTGTTTCATTTAGCCGACACACTTGACAGATGCTGAAAGATCGAAATTAGTTCGTAAAAGAACTGATTACGAGGGAAAGAGTGGAAAATACATATTGAGTGTGTGAGATCAGAAGGGGTGACATAAAAGAGCCATTAAAAGTTTCTTCTTAGTGAAACAAGAGTGTTGAGTGATTGAGTGCCAATTCTGATTTCTTTGGAGCGAAATTGTGAGAATCTTTGTGCGTGTGTTGTAAGGTCCTATATACATTAATTATTTTTGTGTTGTCTTGTTTTATTTTACTAATATGGAAGGTTCAAGTGATAGCAATCCGGGTGACCAACCACCAAACTTGCAAATGCAAGCCATTACCCGTGAGATATAGAGGATGTTAAGGGATGAACTTGAGTCTTTACATTCTAGAATGGATAAAATCGATGGAAGATCCCAATCTCATCATAATGAAGAGATTAATGATGAAAAAAAATTGATCATCCTCCGAGACTGAATCAGAGACATAGGCGTGCATTTGATGATAATTTGGCTAACATAAAAGTTGTAATTCCATCATTTCAGGGACGAACAGATCCTGATGCATATTTGGCATTGGAGACCAAAGTTGAGCGTGTTTTTTAGTACTATAATTACTTGGAATAAAAGAAGGTTCGTTTGGCAGCAATAGAGTTTGTTGATTACGTTCTCATTTGGTGGGATCAATTGTTGATCAGTAGACGAAGAACTGGTGAGGGTCCAGTGAACACATGGGCAGAAATGAAGCGAGCGAGTCGGATATTTCCATCTCACTATCATATAGAAAGGCAACAACGTAGAAAATCTTCTTACCGAGGTAATACTCCTTATAAAGTCTTCTCTAATCCATTATTTACTCCTAACAATGCCAGGAAGCAAGCACCACCTAAGATTAAGGAAAGAACAAAATTGAGTAGTCTGAAGCCTCCCGTTGTTGAAGTTGGAAGTGGAAAGCAACATATGCAACCAGAACGCACAAGAGACATCCAATGCGTCAAATGCCTCGGTAGAGGGCATGTTGCAAGTCAATGTCCTAACCGAAAGACAATGTTGATGCGTGTGAATGGGGATATAGAGTCTGAATCTGAAGATGATGAGCAAGAAACCCCTTTAGTGAATAGTGATGAAGATGATGACCAAATACAAACGTGTTCAACAGGTGAAGCACTTGTGGTTAAGAGAAGTTTGAATGCACAACCAATTCAAGATGAGCAGGAGCGAGATAACATCTTTCATACAAGATGTCTTGTAAATGATAAGGTATGTGTTGTGATTATTGATAGTGGTAGTTGTACTAACGTTGCAAGTACTGTTATAGTTGACAAGTTAGGGCTGAAAACGACAAAGCATCTCAATCCATACAAGCTACAGTGGTTGAATGATGTTGGAGAGACTTAAAGGTCACTAAACAAGTTCTTGTGCCATTTTCCATTGGAAAGTACAAGGATGAAGTGTTGTGTGATGTTGTGTCAATGGATGACACTCATTTGTTGTTGGGACGTCTGTGGCAGTTTGATAAAAAGGTGATGCATGATGGTTTCACAAATAAACATTCTTTTATGAATGCGGTTAAGAAAATCACCTTAGCACCTTTGACACCAAGTCAAGTGCAAGAAGATCAAGTTCGTTTGAAAAAGAATAATGAAAAAGTAAAAGGGGAGAAAAAGATGAACGTTTATGCAAGCGGAATGTCTTTCCTCTCAGCAGTCTTTACTTATTTTAATATATAAGGAATATTGCTTATTGGCTGAAATTCCTACTGATTTGTCTGTTTCTATTGCATCTCTTTTACAGGAATTTGAGGATGCATTTCCGAATGAGACACCGAGTGGATTGCCACCTATTCGAGGCATTGATCATCAGATTAACTTTATTCTGGGAGCCACTATTCCAAATAGGCCAGCATATCAAAGTAATCCCGAAGAAAACAAAAGAAATTCAAAAGCAAATAACTGAGTTGATGGAGAAGGGTTACATTCGAGAGAGCTGGAGTCCGTGTGTTGTACCAGTGTTGTTGGTGCCAAAGGACGGAACGTGGAGAATGTGTGTTGATTGTCGCGCTGTGAATCAGATTACTATCAAGTATCGACATCCTATTCCTCGCCTTGATGATATGCTTGATGAATTATGTGGTGCTAGTATCTTCTCTAAGGTGGATTTAAAGAGTGGGTATCATCAGATTCGAATGCGAGAAGGCGATGAATAGAAGACATCCTTCAAAACGAAATTGGGTTTGTATGAATGGTTAGTGATGCCTTTTGGTTTAACTAATGCACCTAGTACGTTCATGCGACCAATAAATCATGTTTTGTGACCTTATATTGGAAAATATTGTGTTGTATATTTTGATGACATTCTTATCTATAGCAAGTTGTTGCAGGAACATTTGAGAAATGTTCTCGGCACATTGAGAAAAGAAAGATTGTTC